ATATATATATATATATATATATATATATACACACACACACACACATACCCACAAGGACTCAAAAACAAACAAACAATGTAACTGTACTCAGGTACTTGAAAAGGGCAGGAACTTCTGCTGAGCAAAACGATAGCTTCAGTACAGAAGTCACGAGCAAACCTGGACTGTCATAGGAGCCTGTGAGCTGGGAGTTGAGCTTCCACTATGTCCTGATAAGTCATAGCCAGAATGGTGGTGACGATGATGATGGTGAACACCACCTTGCTGCTGAGCTCTTGTCCTTCGAGATGGATCTACAAGACACAAAAAAAAAGTCCAAAGAGTATCCAATAGTTTAAACAATATATATTCTGCTACCAGAGCTTAAACAGTGTGCATAACTATACAAACACCACCAAATGTTACATCTGCGGTAGTGTGAGTTGTTAAAAAAGTGCCTTACTGGCAATCATTAGGGGGGGGAGTTAACCATTTAGTTAAATCAGTAGAGCATTCACCCTGCGTACGACAGGTCTTGGGTTCAAACCCAAGGGTTTCCCAAAGCAAATTGGCTCCCAAAAACTGGTCATCCCAAGACCTTGAAATAAGGCCTGAGAACTGAGAATGTGCTTTGTAGGAGAGATGTGGTAATTTAAGTCAGTTGTTAAGAAGTGCAGTGGGTTAACCCGTTAGCTCAATTAGTAGAACATTTTTATGGTATACGAGAGGTATTGGATTCAATACTGAGGTGAAGAAAGTACCACACATCCAGCTTCAAACTTAATTCATATTAAATGGTATTATAAGTCTTCCATGTTGTCAATGGTATCAAAGTGTAATAAACAACACCTAATCTTAATTACTAAAAAACCTCTTTTATTAAATATGTGACTGGCATTTATACATAGCTTTAAATAATACTTTCTTCTGTAGCTGTGTAACGATTTATCACTCAAGACTCCACAATATGAACTTCACTTAATACACTGATTTTAAGAGAAATTCCAATTATACAGTTCAATCAAAAACGTTTTTTTATATTTCTCACACTATTATTAGTCAATTAAATATCTTTCATTTTTTAAACATTTATTGAGTTGTCTCTCAAGTTCAGTTTAAAAAAAAACAATTGATCAGAATATTAGTGATAACATTTACTAAATTACAGTTAAGAAATAAAAAAACGAGAGTAAGCTGCAAAAATTTGGTAGAGATTAAGAAAAATATCTTCCTTATTCCAATTCTGAACAGAAACCACTATATTTTTCAAAACATAACAAACCGTACTGTATTTTTTAAAACATGAACTTTTTGTAACCACTGCCTTATATCTTAGAAAGACATTCTGTTAATAACCCATGAATCCACCATCAGATCTTGGTATTTGTACATACCTGTACACAAATGTATAAACCACAGAATGGCCATTAAACCAGCTCCAATAATGAAGGAAGCAAATGCAATTCCCACAACTGCACCTGTTGATAGCCCTATTAATTTCTGTTTTACACATAAATCTGCATCAACTTCAACTTGAGCAGAATCATCTGGTAAAGATGGTACGACTGAAAATTTGGAGAATTGAAAATCATGGTTAAAAAAATACAAGCTACATAAAAGCAAATGAAGTCATGCATTAAATGTCTCTTCTTTTTTTTTTAACATTTTGCAAACTTAAATTTGAGAGAGAAAAAAAGTTAACATTGAAAATACATTTACCACTCTGAATTATATGCTCAAACAAAATTAATAACCAAAAATAAATCAAATAAAGCAACAAAAGAACATTAAAAGACATAGCAAGATTTACAAAATCAGTTAATACTTCTATCAGTATCACGTAAGAACTTCTATTAAAGGAAATATTATATAATGTAAATCTATTTATTATCTCTGACAGTTTGGTCGTAATATCTGACATGCTCAAAAATTTTAACTACTCATCTGTTTTCTAATGAGACTGCAAATTTGAAATTACATTTTAATCTCAAAATTATATTTTGTTCGTGTTTTTTAATTTCACTTCATAAAGTGGAAGAATGAGCATCTACACAGTGTGGTCACAAGTAAATAGACACCACCTTTTCAGAAAAAATGAAAATTTTCAGTCATATTTACATGAATTGATATATTTATAATTTAATTAATATCTGATCTTCCT